TGCTTCTCACCACTGTTCGTAGGGAACAAAAGGAAATGCAGGGAAGAAAATAATATTTTTTCCTGTATACAGTTCTCCTTTTCTTTTTAAACTCAATTATCTTTCACAGCCTATCCAAGGAAAGCTCATGTTGTTACTCTTTACCGTCTAGTAACTGTGCTTTCCTTTTCTTGTCTGGACCATGCAAACTCAGCTGTAGGATCTTTGAGATCTTTGCTTTAATTTTCTAAACAGCTGTATGTTTTTGCGATACCACAGACATCTTGGGAGCACAGACAGTGAATATAGACTTCTAAAAAATGAAATTATGGACTAAAGAGAAACACCAGTGGCATAGCTCAATTGTCATCTTCTTGATCTCCTTTATTAAACCACCATTATAAACAGGGATCCTGGCCTGCCTTTGGATCACCTGCCCTTAGGACAACTAAAGGTAAGCTGGGGGATAACAGCGAGAGGAGAGACAGTCTGTGATCATACAGCCTGTTCCAGGCACAAGTGATCTCAGAGAGGAGCTTATAACCTTCCACTTCTTGCTCACCACTAGCTGAGATCAGCAGCCTTCCAGATGGCGGCTTACTGTGTAACCAGCCTGGTTCAGTCTTGCAGTGTGATTCCTTTCATACATTTCTGTGTCAGCAAAACTGGATGCGGCCACATCTTTGATACAATACCTTGGAAATGTGTTATTTTTGTCAGTGTTTCACTATTTAATCTTACATTTCAAGAGGAGACGTTAGCTCTTTGTGTATAGTAATCACAGCAAACCAGTTTTATTCAGCTTGCTGAGCCAGCTCAATGAGGTGGAAAATACATACAGAAAATTTTAACATCTGTCCATTTTTCCCTGTGTCACAAATACTAATTAGCATTAGGTCCATAGACTGTACTGAGGCAGAATTTCCAGACACACATAAGATCTGGTCTGGGAAATTTAGGCCTTTGGTAACCTGACCCTGATGAGCTGAAACTTCTAGCAGAGAGTGATCAAGATTGGTTGGGACAGGCCAGTGACTGTTGTTCTCTTCAGCTGTTTATAGAATATTCTACAGCCACCCTTATATATGTAATTTCTCTGTTAGGTTTGGTTCTTGTAAGCATAATGCAGCCACATATAACTGTTCAGTGGAACACTGGTAGTTTTAAGCAATGCATGGAAATACACGTGTTTATATGTCAGTAAATTATCTCCATTTTTACTAGCCTATATGCCTTGATCTGAGATCTTAAAAAGAACCTTAATTTTGGGCATGAAATTAATTTTTTACAAACTCTGATGTATTATCAACATAGATGAATGACAAATAACCAAATAATGAAATATCATGCTGACAGCCTGTTGAAGAAGTATTTACAGGCTATGTTTATGACAAAACATGTAAGCATTCTTCCTAATTTCTCTAGAACATACAGAATTTAATCCATTTGTGTTAGGTACAGTGCATTCACTCCCAGAGAAGGCAGTGACGTTCAAGTCACTTGCAGATCAAATATCACTTATCAACACTAAAATCAAAATCACTTATTTTACTCAAGCTACATTTCACTTATAATATGTACATTCTTTGTAGATTATTAATTATTTTCATTTCAGAGCAAAAGTGTCTCATGTTAGGTAACTTGAAGCAGAAACATTTTTGATAAATAAGTATTATTAAAACTATTTTATTCAGTAGGTTATTAATTTAAGGATCTTAGCATGTATAGAACATACAATTTAATGTTATAAGAGGATTTTTACTTGTTTTGTATATCATATATTTTTAGAAAGTGTAATGCAATGCTTGAGGCTAAATTCCTTTAAGAAGCTGTTCCAAGTTCTGTTCCTTAAAACCAACAAAACAAGTTTGAAGTGCGCAGTTGTTAGGTCATTTTAAAAGATTTTCAGAATACATCTTTGAGAAAATAATTCTTTTATCTGTCGTTTGAATTTCTTTTGTGTGGAGGTCGATCTAGGAAAGGCAATCCTGCATGATAGAATTCTAAAAAAATTAAAAACTCTCTGTAAGGTGTTTTGTGTATCAAGTGTCAGCAATATATTTTTCATTACTTGCTTGGCCAAAAAAAAAAAAGAAATGGATATGTAAATAAATGATATTCAAAGGCTTTATCACACATAGTTGTGGGTTTTTTGTTTTTGCTTTCTGAGTGTACTTAATATTACTTTAAAATGTTCATCTAATTAAAGATGGCTGGTGGCAGCTGAGGCAGTAAAAAATGTGAAATGTTAAAACACACAATAAAAATAAACATACGGAATGTTTGCTGAAAAATACTCTTTCCGTATATATTTGGGTGCTTACATATCCAAGAAAATTTAAACATATTGCACTTTACTTTTTTCTCTCATGCATATGGCATGAGTTTGACCAAAAGGTCTGACCAGTTATTTGCAGAATCTTCTTATTGATAGTATTCATATTCAGCTGTAGCTGGTAGATACATCATACAAGTCTTACTTTTATGTGACCAAGTCCTGTAGAACAGGAAAAATGACACTCTCTCTGTCACTAGGCACATTTATTCAAGAATCCAAGTGATCGTAGTGTCCAATGCTTAGGCTGAATGGCAGAAATTACAAAACACCATTGACAAAAAAGAGAAAAAGCAGTATTATGAATAAGAATACACTTAATTCAGGTTATTGATATAATAAGATTGATAAGTTAAAAACAATCAAATTTTGCAGAATAAGTGTGAAAGTTTGACTTTCTCTGCTGAAAACAGTTCTTTGCTAGCCTGCATTCCAGCCTCCCATGACAACACTTCCCCCGTTGTTTTTAAGTCTTTTTTCCTTTCTTCTCCATTCTTTCCATAAGCCTTCGAAAGCACAGCTACTTCATGTGACCACATTTGTAGTATGCATTTTACATTTGAGCAGATCTTCTATGCTGCAGAGCAGGAGACAGATTTGCAAAGTCTGTTTCCACTCAAGGATTCCAGCCTCTAGTTTTGCAAAGCCTTCTGGGAATACATTTTCCCAGTCTGCATTCCAGTAGCGTTTTATTTCCTGTAGCTGTGTCAAAAGCAGTAATACTATGTCTAAGGAGTGGAACAGGTTCCTTTATAATATATGTACCATATGGCTTTGCAGCCTTTTTTCTTCATTTGTTTGGAAATGATTGCAGAGGATAATAGTGACTTTGTTCACTAATTGCTGTCCCATGTGCCATATTCACAAATGAAGAATTTATGCTTTCTTTTAAGATTTTCTCTGAGATCATTATGTGACCTAAAGAAGTTAGTTGTAAGTTTTTAGAAAACTTTGGCTTCAAGAACATCTTTAGGATCATCATCAGTTCCATATACTATAGGTGCACTTTGCATTATTTATTTCTTTATATTCAAATATGTTTTTCTGTGGCAAGGAATGCCAAGCCACACCACGTGGAACTCTTGTGACTTCAAATTGATCGCTGGAAGCAGATCATGTACAGAAGCTGCAAACTGTGACCTTATGAGAGGTATTTTTAATATTAAAGACCTCCCTCTACTTAAACTTCATCAATTATTTTATTTAATTCTTTTCTGGACAAATTTACACAAGATGTCCTACAGTGTAATAAGTTAACTACCAAGTAGCAATTCAAACAGTTCAGTGTTATCGCTGCTATCAGTAGAATTTTTACTTCTTTTTTTTTGTCACTGAGTCACTAAGTGATGCAAATTATTAGCACTAGAGAAAGTTGTGTGCATCTCTGAGCTTTTTGCTTTAGCCAGGTTATTCAGCTGGGAGTGGGGGAAATCAGTGAAGAAAGTGGATTTCCTTAACATTCTTCAAGTCCCGAATGGCAAGATAGTAAAAAAGAATGCCCATGCACAACTGTTAAAAAGAAACAAGAACAGAAAACAAACAAGTGAAACAGAGACAATAGTTGGAAGTTTTTTTTTGTTGTTGTTTTTGTTTTGTTTTGTTTTGTTTTTAAGTGGAATAGAAGACTGAACAATGATGTAAGTGAGAAAAAGGATGAAAAAAATTACACTGAAAAGCTAAAGGAGTTAGTTATCTGGATTAATTTCGTAATACTGTACTGCATAGGTCATCAGTGAAAGGAGAAATTGAGGATATTGATAGAGAAGGGCAGAAAAAGAAAAAAAATCCTGACTAAATAATTTTAACTGCAATATACATTATGGGTAATACAGCACTAGAATGGACTGCTGAAGCAAAATGAAATGGAGCATTTATAATGTTTAATTCGGGCACATCTGAAAAAATCTTTCAACCACTGGAGTGTAACAACTGTGAAGAACAAGGCTGCCTTGTAGAGCCAGCAGATCATTAATCAGCCAGAGTGGGAAACTGTATTCAGTAAGTGGTGGGACGAGGTGAAGAGATTCCTTGATTGCATAGCCCCCACCATTATCATCAGTATAGCATATGTCCTGGCAGAGATTTTCTGTATGTTATGGCAAAATGTTATATGTTATGTGCAAGCCTTTCACTGAATCACTCCCTTTCCACATCTTCACTGTTTATACTAAACAAGAACCTTCTGAGTCCGTCATAGGGCAACTTTAAGGTAGTGATGGGGTCACAGAAATGTTTAATCAAAGAGAAAATAAGGGTGTCCTATACATGTTATGTGTATATATGTTATATATATTATTTCATTTAAACCTACAGTGTTCCCAAAATGTGCCAGGTACAAAGCAAACATATTGAAGTACTCAAATTTGGATGGATAGCCAAGATAGAAAAGAAAGAGAAGTACTTAATTCTGTGGTAGCCTTTTTCACACTATCCAGTTACACTTCACTGTTTTAACATTAATAATTCTGAATGAATTTATGAAGAGTTTAGATGCTATCCCTTGTAATTTTTTCCTTTTCATGTTTGGTTTTCACTTCTCTATATTTCCATGTAAGTGAAAGACATTAATTAAGACTCAGCTATATAATGTTTTTCTTTAGTTTTGTCCTGTCCAACACTGTACTTAATTGGTACACAATCCACACTTATGAGGATAAGGACAGCCGTGGAAAAGGGAAACACTTACCTATTTGCCAAGCAGCAGAAGAGCTAAATTTTCCAAGGTCTTCTGGTGGTATAAATGAAAAAAGAGCAGTAAAATAAGGGCTATAGAGAATAGCTAGATAAACTACTATATGATAATAATCTTCATTTTCTCTGTTCTCTTTAACAGAGAGAGAAAAGAGCTAAATAATGTTTTTAATCCACAACTCTGTGAAGCACTGTTACGGATTTTGTGAAAAAAAGTGCTTAATTTATTCTGATTGTCTTGTGCTTGCAGTGGGGAACAACAGTGCTTAACAGGGTATTAGTCCAGCAATTAATAGATACTTTGAATGTGGCTTTTCTCTTTTCAGTTGCCAACAGAAGTCTGGAATTTATTTTTCTGTATTAGTTTTGTGATAGGAAGGAGAGAATATTCATAGCCCGAGTACCCATACCTCGTTGTCTACTTGCATACAAAATCTCCAACTAAAACTGTAATTGGCAATTTCAATTACATCATTTCAGTTGAAGATCTTATGTGTGAGTATAGGTCAGATGCCTCATCAATACAGTCTTTAAAATATGAATTTACCGTGTATCTGTGAATGCATAATTTCACAGTTTCTGTATCTCCAGATATTTCTTTTCCACTTGTTTGCTAATCCCTCCCCCAGGTTTTGTTTTTTCTTGTTGGTGCTTTGCTTTTTGTTTTTTTTGGTCTTTTTTTTTTTTAAATTTCTTTGTTTTGTATTTGTTTTTTTGTGGCTGAGAAGGCATTCTGTGTAGTGTAATGTACAAGATAAAATGGAGATAATGGCTGTGGTTTAAAACGGTAGCACAAAGAAGACCTTTTTTCTTTATTTTTAAATTTTCTCCAGAAAGAGTGAAATCTGTATGTGTATCTGTAAGTCACCTTTGATACCATTTGGAATGGTGAGCAGAGAGGTACTGTATAAGCCATTTCCCCATCCTGAGGATAAGCCTATGGGGACAAGTGCTTTACTAGGTGTCAGTGTGTAAATGCCTGCCACCAGTGACCTTCCCATCACAGGCAGTGCAGACATGCCATAGCTAAGAGAAAACTGGAGATTTCGGGCTGTTCAGTAGCTACCTTCACTAACAGTCTGTTCTTTGGGAACTCTTGCCAGCTGGTTAAGGTACCGACAGGTCAGACTAGCTTGTCCAATCTTAAGAGGGACAGAAAAGTACAAAGCTCAGCCAGCTCCCTGATGGGCTCCTCTTTCTGCTTCACTGAAGCAGATAATGTACCAGCGCTTGTGTCAGACGTAGTCTGAAAGGATGGCTCCCTGAGTTGCCCCTGTTTCATTACTGTCCTTCTCAATAATAACAGATAAAGACCATGATCCTGGGAGTGTTAAAATGCCCTGAAGTGTTATGGGGGAGCTGATGGATTTCGGTTGTTTGCTTCACTGGAAAAAAGTGCTGTTACTACATCACCACTAGCCAAGAGGAATGTGTTGAAAACCTGTCAGACCCACTGGTCAGACCTCAACTGCCAAAAGTTTTGTTTTATGCAGTAGTTTTTAAACGAATTCAAGGGGATTCTAACTGCTCTTCAAACAAAATTTAATATCTAAATACCAGACAGATAGCATATCATACTTCCTTATGGTTCAGAAGCCAAGGTAGTTCAGCCTAAGATTCATTTGCAGACATCTGTAAAACACATTGCTATGGAATGACAATTGAGGTGATCCATAAATTGAAGTGGGCACATGTTCTTTTTTATGAAATGCAGATAAAGTGACACAAAACATTGCTTTTCAAGCAACTGTGCTCAATGCATTCTAAAAACACTGCATAACTGTATTGCAGACATTGATTTTCTTTTGCAACTGAACATCTGCTTGATACACGGAGGCATTTTATGATTAGGCTTCACTCAGTAGCTGGAGTAGTGAAAAGAGTTGAGGGGAGGAAAAAAAGCTTTCTTTCTGCATGCAGTAAAAAAAAAAAAACAAAACAACATAAATGTGTTTATTTCCATAAAGAGTAGAAATAAAGATTCAGAGTTCAAAAGGTATTAGCTTTCAGCACATTTATTCATCGGAACTGCATGTTTACTTTTCTTTGGTAGTGATCTATAATCAAGGGTATTTTCTGGAGGAAAGACATTTTCATCTGCTGAATTTAGAGACTTAATATGGAAACAAACATGCATATTATTGTACGCATGAATGATGAAAAATATGAGCTATTAAACCAATTTTCCAAAGTAGTGCAAAATAAAAATGTTGCAATCTATTGTTCTTAAGAAATATTACATCTCACCAGGGTTTTTAATTCCTCTGACTCCTGTGGGTTGTAATTTCCAGTTTCATAAATACCTTTGTCATTTCTGTATGTCATTGCAGTAAAATCCAGTTGGGGCTAGATCCTACTATGATTCCAGTTTCCGTTCCTGAGTGACAACTATATGTGCTGTTAAACAAACAGGACAGAGTCTCCACTTTACAGGTCCAACACAATTTGAGCAAATGATGTGTCTTTTGTGGTTCATCAGTAATGTATAATGCATATGTGTACTAATGTATACTTTTAGTGCTTGCAAAGACATACTAACTAGCAGACTTTCCTTCTATGTTTGTTTGCAATGCAGAAAATGTGCAGTTAATGCATTGGTTAGAAAATCAGAGATCTGCTGAAGATTCCTAATTACAGTTTATAGGTACTTCATCCTCCTTCTCAGTTAATAAACTGAGAACTCTTGTACTAATCTCTTTTCTACCTGGGATACTTTTACCATTGAAAAGGATGTTACATTCTATAAAGGCATAAAGGAGTCTTCTGTTTGTCTAGTCTGCCTTGTCACATAAAAAAGCTGTAACGACTCCCTCTTCTTCTCAGGCAAACATTTTAAAATTCTGAGCCTCAAACCCTCACTAGTTTGTTCCACACTTTGATTGTTGTTAAATTCACAGGATTTAACATTGTTAAAAATGTGAATCCTGCTTCCGGTCTGCATCTTGTACGTTTTAATTCCAGCATTTTTATTTTGTTTAATATTTGTCCACTGATATATTTTACCCTTGATAAACAACTTAGACTCATACACCAGCTTTAAAAGCCATAGTTTCCAATCACTATAATAAAATAATCTTTTTTTTATGACTTTTCTGACCCTTCCTTATCATTTTGGGATGGTGTGCATAGAAACTACACTAACCACACCAGTATCATATTTTGGGCAATTATGACTGCTGTATGAAGTGTACTCTGGCCCCTATTGCTTTGATTACACATCCAAGGCCAGTTTTCAGTCCCTCTGGACTCAGTGTCTCTTGATCCAATGTCTTGCTTTTCCACTTGACTCCCAGTGAAGACACCATAAAACAGAGTTCCAAGCAGATCAAAATCTTCTGGAGTGTGATGTACGTTTTTCCCTCTTGGGTATATGGCATTAAAACAATTATTAGTTTTTGTATACAATATATATATGTGTACATACCTGAAACAGAAGAAGTAGGGAAAATGTAGGGAAGATAATTCTGTGCAGATTATTTGTTATAATTTGTTATTTTCAGTGTTTGCTGTCCCTTTAAAATTAATGTGAAATTTTATGATATGGCTGGAAGAATCCACAAATAGATAGAGTATATATGTGTTTCACTGTTGAAGAATGCCCACCTAACTGATTCCTTGCAGTAAAAAAAATACAATATATCTCCAACTTCTTATGATTTGAAAACTTTTCTTCACTGTCTAACTAAAATCTTCCTTTCTGCACATCTAAACCAATTAGTCATTATTTCTCTTTTTGTCAGTTTTTGATAGAAGTGTTTAAAAAGTGTTTAAAGTGTTTAATCAGGAAATAATTATCTTAGCAGATAGCGTTACTTAGTTTAGTTACAGGCTATTGCCTTCCTAAGAAAGTAAAATCTATTGAACGTTGTTACTTTTCTGGAAATAGACATAGCTCTTTCATAAGACCTGCTAGCTAGTAAAGAACTACCTTAGGACTTTATTTGTATCTTCATCATTTTGGTGTAACCTCTTACAGAATGTATGTTAAAATCATTGTTCCATTCCTCATTAATATCTTCATATATGTCACTTTATATGACATTGTATGCAAACTGTTAGGTCATGGCCTGAACCAGTTTTGACTGAGCACCTGGCGAAGGGGTGTGGCCAGCCCTGGGAGCACAGGTACAAGCAATTCACCTGCGTGACTGAAGGGGTAGACCTGGGTTCACTCCTACCTAACCTCATTTAAGGGCTGGTAGCTGGAGGTGAGTTGCTGCTACTTGGAGATTTTCTCCTTCGGGAATTTTTTAGTGAGTCCTGATCCTCTGAAAGGGGTGAGTTTTTCCTTCTTTATTATTGAATTGTGACTGCTGCCTTTGTTGGAATGATCTGAAACTGGGTAAAGACAACTGTATCTACAGCCTCCTATCATTACAGATACCTACTGTATGTTTCCAGAAAGTTAGGGACAGACAAGAGAGGATTTTTACTCCCTCTCAACAATCTCAAAGAGATGCTGAGTCTTGAATATTACTTGCCTCAAAGCGAAAATCTAGTATGCAACTTTGCCATATGTTTCTTGTTTAGTATTTACAGAGTATCTTTGTATTATTCTTAAAAAAATAATAATACAACATAAAATAGAATTAATGATACTAGAATTCTGTGCATGGTGTACTTGATGTGGCACACTGCGGTGCATTGAAAAATTTTAGATTAGCTGTTGAACATGCCTCAAACTATGTGGAAGTAGTCTAAAAATGACCCATAATAACAATCCTGCATTTTAAATGCATTGTTAATATTAAATTGCCAACTAACTATAGGGTGGTTATACAAAAACATTTAATCTTGAATTTTCTACATTTTTGGCTTTTTTCTGCCCTTTTTCATGAAACAGAAAGAATACATTAAAAAAAAAAAAAATAGGGCTTTGAAAACACTTCTCTGAAAGACTTCATGCTGAGCAAAACAGTACTGCTAGAGAATGACATCACACATATCTTGTTTTTAAAGGCCTAATACAAACTCTATTTACATATTTTTATTGATTTTCATGAATTCTTCATTATGTTGTAGGTGTAAAAGAATTGT